TTAGATATTTGTAACTCCTTTCCCTTACATGTGAATTTTATGGTCAAATAAATACTCAGATGGAGTCATATTTCTTTTATTGATTTATTTAGGGAGAATTAATGTCTTTTCAATAGTGAATCTTCCATTCGTGCACAAGTTTTGTTTCTGCATTCAGCTCTTTTCTTATGTACTTCAATATTGTAATTTTCTTTCTTTCTGTTTTAAATGTATTGCACTTATTTTATTTATTTATTTATCTATTTATTTATTTAGGGGGAAGATGACTAGGTTTACTTATTTATTTATTTTTAGAGGAGGTGGTGGGAATTGAACCCAGGACCTTGTGTATGCTAAGCATGCGCTCTACCATTTGAGCTATATCCTACCTACCCCTGTGTCTCCATAATCTTCTAGATAAAGATTTTGCACAAGATTTATTAGCTTTCTAGATTTTGTGGATTTGTGAGTGACATTTTTTTCCATTAAGTTTTCTAATTGTTTATTATGTATTTACAGACATCTATTGACTTTTTAGCAGCTTTACTGAGATGTAATTCACATGTCATACAATTCATCCATTTAAAGTGTAAAAGTTAATGTTTTTTAGAATAGTCAAAGACATGTGCAACTATCACAACAGTCAGTTTTAGGAGGTTTTCTTTACGGAGGAGGAAGCCCCGCATCTTTTAGCTATCTTCCTATTCTTCCAACCCTCCCCGCCCCCTGCCCTGGTCCCCCAGTGGAGGTTTGAACACATCAGAATGAAACAAACATCCATCCAGGAAAGTGAATGAAGTTAATAAGGGAAAGAGAACAAACAGAATAGCAGAGGCCCTGGGAATGGATTCTTGACAAATGTCCACGTTAAGGAGGCGATAAAAGGAATAGGAGTTTGTCATGTCTTCGTGACAGAGGGGACATGGGAGCAGGCAGAGAAACAGAGCGATGATGGCTGTGCCACAGGAGCGTGGCGGGGTAGGGAAGGGAGGTGAATCCCACTGAGTGGAATGTCAGTACTGCAGAGGAAGAATGAGGCCCGAAAATTAGTCATTGACCTTCAGACTATTCCTTGGTGACCTTTGGGAGGAAAGTTGCTAAAGAGCATGAGATGGGGCAAAATTTCAGGAAGAGACTGCTTGTATAGATTGCTGATTTAAGAAGAGTGGCAATGGAAAGAAAATAAAAATAGGACGATGAATAGTGAAGGAAACATCGAGGAACATTTCTGAAGTCATTAGAAGTCTGAACGTGCTCGGAGGCAGAGGGAAAAAAGTCTGCGGAGAGGAGAAATGGAAAGTGGGGCTGCCGTGCTTGCTGAGGGAGGAGGGGTCAGGGAGAAGGGACGGAACAGGTGGTGTGGTTCACGTGAGTAAAAGAGGATGCTCTTTACCCCCACGGTTGTCATGGATAAATCTGTATCATTGCTTCCAAATTGAAAAAAAAAAGGATGCTCTTTCTGGAAGGAACAGCTCTGGGGATGGAGAAGGAAGGTGAGACATTCATCTTATTCAGATAGGAGATTATCATTTCTTGTCAAGACAGCTGATGACAGAGCGGGGGTGGGGGAACCGAGTGCTTGAAGGACGTGGAGGAAGAGGGAATCAGTGTGCACATCCCCAGTAGTCTCCACTTGCACAAGCTCAGGCTGCGGAAAGAAAATGAGTTGTCACCCTCGAGCAAGCAGCCTGTCTGCCAGGCCAGTGGTGACACAGCCTCCTTAAAGTGCTGCAGAAGCTGTAGGGAACACACACACAGCAGCTCTCTGGTGGCCCAGCCATGCCCCCTCTGAGGACTGTGTGAGGCAGCTCTTTCCTGTGGACACCCATCGGGCAGACCCCACTCCTAAGCTCCCTGGCCCAGCCCAGCCGCCGACACCCTTCCCTTGGACTATGAACTCTACTCGTGTGCTCAGGCCTGGGGCAGCTCGGGAGCAGTGATGAAAACCCTTACGTTTCCTCTCCTAACAGTTTCAAGAGGCCTTTCCCAGAATGTGATGTCATTTCATTGTCATGGACCATGGCATTACTGTCCCCAGTTTAAGGATGTCAGTCATTAACGTCTTGAGTGAGGCCATGCGGCTGATACTAGTTATCTAGGCATTTTGACTTGAGAACCCTGGCTCTGTCAACCAGCCATCTACATTGTCTACACCCGACTGACCCACGTGAGTGCTGGGGAGGTGGGTTCTGGTAATTGGGAGGCAAGAAGGGGAGAAAAGAAAAAGGCGGGTGACGAAACTGATGGCACAAAGCCTGCCACCCCACCGGAGCCTGCCGAGGGTGGCACCTCCCTCTGTGGTCAGGAATCCGTTCCCATTTCTGCTGGACTGAATGCATGGTGCCTATGCATTTAAAATCTCCTGAGAATAAAGGGCTTAGTGAGTTTGCAGAGGTGGTAGGGCAGGCAAATTTGGTGTGTGTTTGGTGACGATGGCGGTGGTCAGGACGTGGACTGGTGAGGGGCACTGACCAGACATGTGACCCGGTGAGTTGCTCCATCTCTCTGACCTTGGGCTTCCTTTCCTAAGATCCAACTAAATTACCTAAGTTGTCTCTGAGTCCTTGATTCTTAGGAAACCGGAAACTGGATTGCAGGAGGAGAAAATTTCCTTCTGGTGGACTTCCTGTTCAAGGCCTTTTCTGGTTTCCTGAAGGAGCAGTGAAATCCTTAATGAGTCTGTGAAACAATATCATCTTCTTGGAGGTGGAATGTGCCCTTGTGCTATTTACAAAACCAACTAACTCACCCTCCAAAACCAACGAACTAGCCAACAAATCGACTGACTGACTGACTCATAACCAAACAGCAGCCAGAGGGCAGAGATGGAGTCGTTCAGACATCCTCTTCTGTGGGAAGCAGAGACGGAGCTAAAACAGGGCGCGAGGCTGAGCTCTCCCCAGCAACCCTGGGCCCACAGCGTCCAGCAGACCCCAGGTGTGAACGACCGTAATGTACGTGGCCTGCTGGCCCGGTCTTGCAGCCAGGCCAGCATGCCTTGGAACGAAGCTTTTCCAAGTATAGATTTTCCCTAAAGCTCCTACGGCTGGACGGCAGCCCCGGGGTGTTTCCTGACACAGACCTGTGAGTACCTGGTGCTCCCTAGCTCGCCGGGCACAGGCGATTTTGGTTTCATGAGGCCCTGCCAAGTGTGGAGAGGCCCTGTGTGCACTTTCAGTCACGTGACCGGTGACTCAGGCCCTTTCTGGTTCATGCTTGTTGGAGTATGGGAACCAGGGAGGAGAGGTAAAGAGCTTCTGCACCGGCTCTCTGGGAGGGTCCGGGCTTGAGTAATCGTGTGTTGTTATAAGGCTTGCCCTGAGCCCCTTTTTATGTGGGCATAATAAAGTTATCGTATAACTGCACAATTACCATTTTCAGATGAGGTTTCCAGAGCTCATGTATGCCAGCTGCTGTCTCCCAACAGGAGCCGGCCAAAATCAGCCAACGGCGGGCGGGGGGGGGGATGGAATCTGCATTTCACCACTTCCTTTAATGAAGTCGCTTGGCATTTAACCACCTCATCACCAGAAATACTTCTGTGCTCTTAACCTGAATTCACCCTGCCACGTTTCAGCATGATTCGTCTGACTCTGGGAGACAGCCTGGAAAATTCATTTCACGGCAGTAGGATTGTCTAAGTAACCTTAAGGGAAGGTACTTATTCCAAATTTATTTTCTCGCCCCTGCCAGTCTATAGCCCTCTGTCCTTTCAAACTAGATTTCCAAGGTTGAACTCCCCCTTTCAGAATCTTTCACTGCTGAACCCCTCCCTTCCACAGACGAGACCAGAACACACCAGCTCAGAGTTTATTTTTTCATGCCTCAGTTCTCACTGACATGCTCTTTTGCAAATATTCTGAGTCTATTTCAGGTCACAGCGCTCTGTAGTTCCAAGCAGGATGGATTCTCTTTAAGGCAACTCTGGTGTCGTGAAAAATGCCCGGGCTTGGCATCAGAAGTCCTGGACTTGTCACTCACCAGCTGTTACTTGAGACACATTCTTCAACCTCTGAGAGGTTCAGTTTGCTCATCTGGAAAACAGGGCAAATGGGGCTTTAACTGCTCGGATCCTTGTGAAGGTAAATGATGGAAAATGTATGAAAGTGCTGAGGATAAAGGCTCACACTTAACAGGCAACCTGCAGACGCTAATTCACATTCTTTAAGGGCAGCGCCTGTAACCTCTATTTCTATAGTTTTCCTCGGTAAAGCCTCCGGGCGCGGCTTTGCCCACCGGAGAAGGTGCGTGAGCACAGCTGACGATTTGGTAGCTGAGGACACACAAGCCGGAAAGGAGTTGGGGGGCTCGGGAGGACGGGGCAGTGCATGTCTGAGGCGGGCCACCAGCTGAGGCAAGCTCCATGGACTAGGCATCTGGGGGAAATGGAACCGAGGATTTGGTCTGAAAAGCGAGAAGTCTGGTGCCGGCATCTGGGCAGGAAATGTTCCCATGAAAAATCTCTGTCTCTTGTAACTCCTCCAGTGCTCAGAGTTCACCTTTGTGGGGCCTTCTGGGTGTTACTGTGTGACTTCAACAAGTCCATTCTGCTCCTTATCTGTGGGGGCGGGGCCGCTTTGCCCGGGTGCGCAGTTTGTCTACCGAGGAAGGTGCAGACATCATTGCTGCAAAAGTAGTTTATTTTCCCCAGAACTTGCAGGATCTTGCCTGTAACTGTTTCCTTAGTGCTTCATCTGCACAAGGGGTCTGAGACCCCAGGGCATGGCTGCGCCAGTGCTCTGGGGAGTGCAGGGGACAATTGTGGACACTGCTCTGATGTGGCTACCAGTGAAGTGGGCAGGGTGACTCAGGGGTTGAGCAACCCACTCCACAAGTGTTCTAGGGAAGGAAATGAGATTTGGGTGGGAAACCCTAAGCCTGGAGATTATTAAAGATCAGTGAGGGGTTTGTTTATAGAGGGTGAGGCCGTCTCTCTCTCTCTCTCTCTCTCTTTTTTCTTTTCCTGTGAGGCCAGGTGAATGGAGGGAGACTGTTGGAAGGTCACGGAAAGGATAGGTCAAGTCACTCCACAGCTTCCCCCTTTGGTCAAAGCAAATGAAGCCGTCAGGCAGCAGCTGCTCATTTACTTTCCTGCCGCGAGTGCCCTGACCCATGATAGGATCCTCAGATGCAGAGTGGAACGCATTCCAAGTTCAGTAACAGGCTGTGCAAGGTCACGTTCTGGTCTTCTCTGGTTATTTGTTTTTCCCTGTTGTCCTTGATCTTCACTTCCGTTTCTCTTCCACCCCCTCCCTCATTTCCCACTCCCCCCAGCTGCCAGTCACTGACTCACACATGACAGTCTCCAATGAAAGGACAAGTACCCTTGGACACTTGCTCTTATGACTTCTGCAAGGGCTCCCGGGGCACACACCCAGCATGGGGACTGCTGGGTGTAAGGTATCTGAATACTTAATTTTCACTAAGTACTGCTTGGTTGCTTTCTAGAAAGGTGGTGCCAGTTTAATGCTGCTTCAGAAATACAGAAATGAGTCTGTTTCCCTGAATCTTCTCCATCACTTGATATTACCCAGCTCTCTAATCTTTGTATATCATATATATGTGTGAAGTAGTATATCATGGTTTAGAAATTTGTGTTTCTCTGATTTCTAGGTCTTCTAAGAAATAAGTATGTCATCTCATACTTGTATCCATTCTCTAAATTGTGTATTACGTGCTTTGCTCATTTTCCTTTTGGGTTTCCAGTCATTTTCATGTTGATTTGCAGGAGTTTCTTGTATACATTAGACATACAATTATCTATGTATGTAGATACTATAATTTTTCTTATGCTGTTCTTATCAAGTTTTAGAATCAAGGTTATATTTATTAGCCTCATAAAATGATTGACATTTTAACTTCTATAATAGTTATTTATCTGTGCAAGATTTAAATCTGTTCTTTGCCAATTTGGCACTTTATGAATTCACTCTAGTATATGTAGGTGTGGATCCCCCAGCTTATTCATCTATGTGGTATGACACTCCCTAAGTTCTTTTGCAATTCTAATTTTCTACTCCATGTCTTAACTTTCATATTTTTGTTTCTTTTTTAGAAAAAAAGTAAAAATGTGTCTGGTGCCTATTTATTTATTCTTAATTAACGTAAGTCTCATAGTGTTCTACTGTATTTATTTCTCTTCTTAGTGGAGTACTTCTTCCAAGAGAAGTTTTACAGGTGCCGGATACATCATTAATTTTTTCCCAAATTTTAAACAGTTTAATTGGTGTTAAAATGCTATGTTGAAGTTTCTTGGCTTTTAACCCTGAAAAAATTATTCTCTTGGTCAGCATCTATTGTAGATGTTAAGAATTCCTGGGTTTGTTTTTTTTTTTTCAGGGCATAAACCTTCTCTCTGGAAACTTTTAGAATCATCATTTTTGTTTTTGGTTTCCTGAAACACATTTATCTTCTTTACCTTCTGAGCCCATGACATGACAGCTAAGGAATAAAAACTGGCATAACTTTTAACAATGAAGAGAATTTGAAGAGGGTCTTCAGAGGATAAGCAATTGTGTGATGTGCGGATGAAAGACCATAGGAATGTTACTGAATGAATTTGGGTCCATTCATCTGATGTGCAGCAGAGCCAACCTACTGACACAGGGTCGTGGTGAAGGAGAGAAGAGCTTTTATTACAGGGCACCAAGCGAGGAGAATGGGCAGCTCATGCTCAAAAGACATGTGAACTCCCCAAATGCCTTTCATGGAAGCGTTTTAAAGGCAATATTGGGGTGAGGGTTGCAGGATGCATGACTTTCTTCTGATTGGTTGGTGGTGAGGTAATGATGGTGTTTCAGGAATCTTAATCATCAGCCTTCTGGTTCCAGCCAGTCTGGGGTCTGTATGCTTGTGGTCAGCCTGCTGTCACTATCCCCCACCTGGGTGAGGGGTCTTCATTTCTGCAGAGGTACGCATCAGATTGCTCTGTACATCCCTTAAGGAGGGACTGGGACTCTCATCACTGAACTGCTGTTTAAGCCATTGTTACTTTTCTTGCTTGACTGCTTTCCCTTTGTTTCTGCATCCCCTCGCTTCTCTAGTTAGCTGCTTGAATCTGCTCTTTGGAACTCAGAGAAGGCCTAGGAGACTAAAGCCTTTTTCTATAAGCAAGAAACAGGGGACTCAGGATATGGACCCAGGAGGGCCCTATGGGGTCCTGCTCAATTTCAGTCTCTCCTTTTCTTTGATACTTCTCAGTCTGGAGAAGAACAGGAGTGGGACAAGAAAGGGAATAAAGTAGTGGTGGGAATGTAAATTGGTGCAGCGACTATGGAAAACAGTATGAAGAGTCCTTAAAAAACTAAAAATAGAGCTACCATATGGTCCAGCAATCCCACTACTGGGCATATATTCAGAGAAAACTCTAATTCAAACAGATACGTGCTTCCCAGTGTTCACAGCAGCACTGTTTACAATAGCCAAGACTTGGAAGCAACCTAAATGTCCACAGATAGATGATCAGATAAACAAGATGTGATATTGATATCTATCTATCTATAGATACAGATATCTATCTATAGATATAGATATACAATGGAATATTACTCAGCCACAAAAAGAATGAAATAATGCCATTTGCAGCAACATGGATGGACCTAGAGATCATCAAACAAAGTGAAATAAGTCAGACAGAGAAAGACAAATATCATATAATATCACTTATATGTGGAATCTAAAAAAATGATACAGATGAACTTATTTATGAAACAGAAATAGACTTACAGACATAGAAAACAGACTTACGGTTATCAAAGGGGAAAGACTGGGGAGGAAAATAAACTAGGAGTTTGGGATGGGATTAGCAGACACAAACTACCATATATAAAATAAACAACAAGGACCTACTGTCTATAGCACAGGGAACTATATTCAGTATCTTGTAATAACCTATAATGGAAAAGAATCTGAAAAAGGATATATACAACTAAGTCACTTTACTATACACCAGAAACTAACACAACATTGTAAATCAACTATACTTCAATCGAAAAAAAGAAAGGGAATAAAGTTTGGGTTGGAGAAGTTAGTAATAAACTCTGCAGAGGAACTTGGTTTTACTGGGACTTGGTTTCAGGAGGAGGGCTGGGGGCTAATGGGTGAGGTAGACAGAAAGAGATGCCGTGAAGAACATACACAGTGCAGATAGCACTCTCCTTGGCAAAGGGTTGATTTTTTTTTTTTGCAGAATCCTGGAAGGGCCAGGACTCAAAAGTTCTAGATTTTTATTTTTTTGGAGATTTTTTTTAACATTTTTTATTGATTTATAATCATTTTACAATGTTGTGTCAAATTTCAAAAGTTCTAGATTTGATAGTGGGTAAAAAGAAGACATAGGCTGAGAAACCCCCAACTTCTCCACCCTGTAGTCATGGGGAAGGAGTGAAACTGAGTAGGATCCTGCTGTAAAAAAGACATTCCTTGTCCCCAGTTTCCTGTTTGTAGGAAAAAGGTTTCAGCCTCCTAGACCTTCCCTGAGTTCCAAAGAGCAGGCAGATTTAAGCAGTTCCTAATCTGGGAAGAGGTGGGGTGGAATGCGCTCAGAAAACAATAGCGTGACAATAAAGCAGAGTGTGCTAGCTCCTCCTCAAAGGTATACATACCAATCTGATACGAATCTTTGAATTCTTCTGTAGGAACTAAGACCCCCAGCCAGGTGGAGGCTGATAACTTCAAGCTGAGCACAAGATTCATGGAACACCACCCCAACCAACCAGTCGGAAGCGAGTCGCACACCTCTCAGCCTTCACCCCAGATTTTGCCTTTAGAAACTCTCCCCCTGAAAACCACTGTGGAGGCTCGGTTTTTTGAGCACGAGCTGCCCGTTCTCCTTGCTTGGCCCTTGGAATAAACCTTTCTTTGCTCCAAACTCCACCAATTTGGTTGGTTGGTTTGGCCTCACTGTGCGTCAGACAACACTGGGTGTTGTGTTCGAAAATAGGATGGTTCCTGTCTAAAGAAACTGGACAACCTGTTCTGCATGTGGGAGCTCATGCCACTTCTGGATTCCGTTTCTGCTCACCCTGAAATGGAGCCCAGTAGCCAACAATGTCATGCTGAGTTCACAGCTTTAATAGCCCCACCAGTGACTATTATGACACACGAAAAAGAAACATTGTGAAATAGGAAAATAATTCCATAGGAAAATAAATAATTCAGGGTAAATAAGGAGCTTGACAGAAACTAATTTATATCCTTAGAGACATATAGGAAAATACTACATCAATTAAACAAGAAGATGCTATGAAAATGCTAATTGAGAAGTTGGAAGGTAAAATAGAGAAAAAATAAAAGAAAAAGTATAAAATAATCAACAACAAGAATAAAAACCATTTAGAATAACCTAGGGGATCAACATCCAGCTACCAGGAAATTTAAAAGAAGGAATTACAAAGAAATAGCACAAGAGGATTTCCCAGAGTTGAAGGATACAGAAGTTAAGAAAGAAGTGTTTACCTACTCCCCACTATAATGAATGAAAGACAGAAAATGCAACATTTAAAAATTCAGAGCACTAATAATAAAAAAGAGACCTTAAATGTTTCCAGAGAGAATGAGAAATGAAGAAAAAATAATGACAACCTGCAAATAAATGGGCACCAAAGACTTGAAAGAGCCACACGAGATGCTGGACTGCAAAAAAAATGCTTCAAATTACGGAGGAAAACTGCTTTTAACTAGAATTCTAAGTCAGGCAAAGCTAATTGTGAATTTTGAAGGCAGAAGAAGAGAGATTTTTTTCAGACAGATGAAGTGTTGAACAGGCTTCAACTCCACACATCTTTTGCAGGAAGTCATTTGAGGACACACTCCTGCAAAATGAGGGAGTCAGGCAAGCCAGAAAGAGATGTAGGATTCTGGAAGCCATACCTGCAACCTCGGACAGGAGTGAGGGGACACGCAAATGACAGTTTTGCTGTGGGTCTAATGAGTGATCAGTACAGATTTTCCAGCTGAAGGAAACACTGATTTGTATCCTCTGCCATTTATGAAGACATCACCCGCACAGAAAGGTTAAGTCAGCTGAAGTTAGTGGTCTGGACTCAATTAGTCTGACTTCAGAGCCTAAACTAAACTTTTACTTTTTATCTTGCATTGCTTCTTCTTGTAACTTAAAGTGATAAATGGTTTCCACCAGGAAAATAAAAATTTTGGTATGTTTCATGCGTGCTAAATACAATTTATTAGAGTCAGAATGTGAGAAATAAAAAGGCTATGTAAAGTTGCTGAGTTAAGAACTAACTTTATAGAAATCAAGAAATAGTTTCTGGAGAAATGAAGGTACCCGCCAGGAGAGAAAATTTTTAAAAGAGTGAAAGATGATTTAGTTGAGGGAGAGGGAGTGAGCAAGGGGACGAGGAAGGCGAGAGATTTTTCTGTGTCTTCTGCACCTTAAAAAAATTAAATCACTTACACATAGTCCTTTGAAAAATTTATATTTTATTTCTGTGTATTTTTAAAAGGGCAAATAGGGCTTATTTGAATGTAAGCCAAATGGGGAATTGTAGTAATGAGCAAAGGCACAGAGGAGTAAAACATTCAGGGCTCGGTGGAGAGAGGTAGGGTTTCAGTGACTGTGGGGTGGCTGGGGCTTGGTTCAGTAGCTGGGATGACTCTGGAAAAGCAGACCAGGGCAAGCCTGTGGAAAGCATCGAATGCCATGCTAAGATTGGAATTTCCTTTGTTGGCAACGGGAACGATGAAACGTTTTGAGCAGCATGATTCCATCTGTGTTCTAGAAGGCTCAGCCTAACTGCAGTGTGAGGCAGGCTCTGCAGGGTGGGAGGGCAGGAAGCCAGAGGAGCGGAGCACAGGCGGTTACGACCATCTATGGCTTGTGGGTCTGGACGAAGGCTTTCAACCTGGAAGGACACTGAAGCGCCATACCTGTGACTGGGACCCAAAACCCTCCCGCCGTGGTAGCTGTCCCTCTGGCCTGCGGTCCGCCGTCCAGCGCCCTCCGGCTAGCCGGGTGGCCTCGTCCAGGGATGCTTAGGTGGGAGGCCGCGGGTGGGCTGCATGGGACTGCAGCCCCCACCCCACGTCGGGTGGCGTCTCATTGCAGCTTTTTAGACCTTCCTATAAACTATTTTTTTGGCCACTTTTAAAGACATGGTTTAGGTTTTAGTACAGGATTTTTACCAACTTGTCCCCAAACCCTTCTACACCCTTTAATGGTTCCCTTGGTTTTTATAAGCAGTTTTTCAGTTTTTTCCTCCTGCCTTGCCAACACATCTAAGAACTGGGATTTTTTCCCCTCCTCCTTTTATTATTAATATTTTTAAAATAATGAAATGGAAAAATCGAGTGTGTGTGAACTTCTGGCCTCCTGCCTTCTAGGTTCACACCCTCCGGCGCCCTCCCTCTGAGGCTAATTCACGTTCCATGTGCTGGGCGTGGGTGCCTGTGTGACCAGGAGGCCTCGGATGGCCTCAGCCCCGTGTCTCCTGTTACCATTATCTCCTCCGTTACCATTATCTCCTCCTTGCCTTCTTTCTTACTTCCATCCCTGCCCCTCCTGCCCTCTGGTTGCCGGGCAACATAGCTCAGGGGCAAGGGAGTCTGGCTGGAAATGCCCAGCTAAAAGAACACTGGTGTTTCTCCTCCCTGTAGCATCCTGGCCGGCAGTTGGGCAGCTTACTGAAGGTCAAAGGCAGCCATCCATAGCTGTGCCATTCTCTCCACTAGGCGTGACCCTGACTCAGGAGGGGAAATACTCGAAGGGGTGAAGTAGTTTTCCCTTCACACCCAAGAGGCCACATGGCTCTTGCCTTCCGGCAGGAGAGGATCAAAGTGGAGCTGAACAGGTCTTTGTGTATTTCAGGAATGTGGAGTTCATTTCCCTCCAGGCCTCTCCCGCCACGGACTGCTTGACTGCCAAAATGACACATTCCTTTGTTAGCAGAGGTTGAATTTGGGGGTTAGGGATCCATCTTCCTAAGCACCGTGTCACTCAAAATATGGTCTGGGGACTGGCAGCATAGGGAGCTTGTCAGAGTGCAAGCCTCAGAGGAGGGTATGGCTCAGTGGTAGAGTGTGTGCATGAGGTCCTGGGTTCAATCCCCAGTACCTCCATTGGAGGGAAAAAAAAAACTCAAAAAAAGGTTGAAAAGAAAAACAGACCTGCTGAACCAGAATCTTCATTTTTTCAGAAAGGCCAGGTCATTTGTATTCATGCATGTTGAAAGCCACTGATTAAATACTTCACTGTCAATTTGATTAGAATGAGAGCACATGGCTCACAGTGGGACTCGTGTTCCAGAGGATTCTGCCTTTCCCTGGTGCATCGCAGAGCCGTTGCCTTGGGGGCCTCCATGGATTGCTGGAGAAGGGGGTGTGCAAATGTACAGACCCTCTCCTGCCAGGAGTCCCCCACTTCTCCATCCGTCCTTATCTCGCCCAGGGTCACACCATGAGCCATGTTCGGATACATGATCTCCTCCTCCTCCCACAATTCTGTGGGAGAACAAAGCGGGTGTTATTAGTCTCATTTTCAACAATGAGCCATAGTTTTATTGATGAGGAAACGACTATCTTGATTAAGAGCAATGAACTGGATGTACCATCTCCCTTCCCACCTTCCTTTTGTATGTGACCGAGGCTAGACTTTGTCTTTTTCAACACAAACCTCAGGAAAGTAATTATTATGGGGTGGAGGGGGAGCAATAAGAAGCATAATGTTGGGTTTGGTTTGAGTCATAAATTCCACCACGTAGGGCTGAAAACAAAGGCTCTTCCTGAGCCTCTGCAAACAATCCCAGTAGTTTAGAGGCCCTTTTGAACAAAAGGGTTACATGGCTTGAGTTTCAAAGAAAAGAATGTGGAAAGAACTCTTCCAGAAGAGAATGGCCTCCAGATGTGAACATGGCTCTTCCAGATGTGTGGAAGAGCGGGGTGGGGGACTAGATGCCTCACATGTCTGCAAAATGAAATGGAAAAACCGCTCGTAGCCACGGGGGAAAGTAGGGCAGGGGAAGAGGCATGAGACGGGGAAACGGAGTCCAAGCTGAGCTCTTCAGTGTGGGGCTGGACGATCTTGAGGCACTCATCCCCACGTGGGCTGATATTTAAAACACGTGGTCCATGTGCAGACCACACCTTGGACTGTGCTGCTGGAGAGAAAACTCAGAAGGCATCGTGCCTGCAGGTCTCCAAGCAGATCTGATCCCGCCCACAGAGGAGTTTCCCAGGCAGGGCGGCAGGGTAGGCTGGGCATCCTCGAGTCTGACTCAGGGCAGAAGGGAACTGAGGCCGGAACGCGGAAGAGGGAGCCAGAAACTTCACAATCCTTCCTGCCTTCAGCTTCTGAATCAGTAACTCACTCTCTCAGGGCCTTGCCCAGTTTGTTCCTTCACCAGGGCTCGGACCTCCCCTGTTTCTCAGATGAATAGATGAAAACGGATGCCTTGTGGCTGAGTCATCATGGTTTGTCACATCTCTGAAAATGGGAGCCGTTGTCCAATTCCTGGTGCCTTGAATAAAACCCCTTTATTTCCCTCTGCCGGCATCTTCCCCTTCTCTGGGAAGACCTGCCCCATCACTGCTCCTGCTGCACGTCTCCCGACCTCCCCACCGTCCCAAGCCTTCCTCTCCTTCGAGGTGAAGACTGTCCCTGAGCCCCCATGTCCATGTCACTCTGGACATGTGATTTGAATTCCCTCTTCCAATATTTTTCAGCAACGTAAACCAATTCACTCTGTGCTGGCCCCACTGGTGGCTCCATATTTCTATTTCCCTTGAAGCATTCTCAGAATCTGAAGAACATATTCCAACGAAGTGAGTAAATTTAAGTTGCTAATTATTAAAACATGTGCTCATGTAACAACGGCTACAGACTGATCTCTCTCTCATACACACACACACAAACACACACACACACAGACACAGGCATAATCTCTGGCCAATATGCTAATAACACAATGAATACTCAGTTGAAAAAGTTAATCAGTCATCTTCTGATTTTCCTATGTGGGACCTAATCTTCCCCTGTGATCTGCAGCTCAACACGTTTTTCAAAGCCCACTCCAGTAAGAGGGTAGATTGTCCAGTTAGAGGGTGAACTCAGGATCAGTGCATCCTGGGTACAGAGATGTATGTCCTTGCTCTGGGAGTCAAGTACCAGGCAGTCCACAATCGTCACCACCACCATCATCATCATCACTATTGGCGAATTGTGAATTCTTGATTTCCTTCGTTTTAATCTAACTGATGTTGAATTCTCAAGCTGCTTTTTGTTTTATGTTTGAGTCTAAACATATTTTGATATTCCACTTAGTACCTGAATCAGCTTTATAAAATCGATTCTGTCCTGGCTCACTAGAATGTCCATCTTTAAATTTTGACATTTAAGGATTGGCTTCAGGCTTCAGAAAATAAACAGTTAGGCTAAGTTCAATGCGTGGGTCCGAAAATGTCTATACATCATTCTGGCTTTTAGCTCCAAACTGGATGTATTTCATGCTTCTGAACTGGCTAGATTTCTGTTTGGCATTTTTGGTGGCAAAGGTTATTTTGTTCTTGTACGTTGGTTGTATTCATTGTTATTTTTAGACGATTCCATAGAGCCTGATGTGAGAGCCTACCTTGCCCCCAAGTGCTTGCACTGTTGGCCTTTAATCATTGCATTCTGCTCAAGCTTCAGGATTCTAAAGGTTCTTCGCTTTCTATTTCTAGGCTTTTCCCACACCGCCCAGCGCGGAGTCACGTCCGCTCCAGCAGAGATGGTGTTTCGGTTCATTTGCTCCCCTGGTCGGAGCAGGCCTGTCCAGAGAGAAGGGAAATGGCCTTTCTGCGATTAGAACTCCCGGCCCAGCTGGAGAGAGCTCGTCACCGCCCAGCATGACTAAGGCGCAAAAGCCCAGCCCTCGTCTTCAGGTGCCACGGGTGTCATTTTGTTTGGAATACTCCTCTTTGTTTACTCGTTCTCCTGTCTTCTCACCTGTCTGTTATGCTGAGCTCTACCCTCCTGCACACGTTCCTTCTAATCCCTCAGTGACCTAAGCCAGAGAAACTGCCTCAGGACTAAACTGTTCTCCTCTCTGAGTTCTTTGCCTTCGGCCCCAGCACCTGGTTCTCTGATATTAACGCCTCGGGTTAAATCTGCCATTGATTGTATGCCAAGCAGTTGACTTACATTTATCACGTTTGTTGTTACTGACAAATAACAATCAGCTGGATGGTGTTATCCCCACTTTACTGATGAGGA